AAGTAAAAAAAACATATTTGTTCCAACAGGGAGCGTCTTGCAAATGTATGGAGAGTAGAATAAAATGTACAATCCTTCTTATAAAAACATACAAGGCTAGAGATGGTATGACCCCCTCCTACCTCCAAAACACATTAGTATAATATCATCCAAACAAAACACCATGGTCGAAGTGGTTCCTAGTGGTTCCTAGTTGTTCAAAGATTGTCAAAAAACAGTTTGAGGCCAGTGCTTTGTGACAGAAATACTGCCTTAAAGTGATAGTCTGTAACTCTAAATGAATTAAACATTTTAGGAAATGTGTTAAATTGACCTCCTGGCCTTAAATGTTGATATAAAATAAGTCATTTTATTAATTCTAATATTACGGGTAAGTCCCGCCTTCCATTCTCTTAGCTACAGCTCAGAATCCACGATGCCGTCCACGTTAACCAATCGAGTCATGCCAAGGGCTGTCAATCATTAGCGATGATGCTCGCAGCTGTGCGCATGCTCAGTTGTTTGTTTTCGCGGAGCCTCCGAATCAAGCCTCTATTAGGCTCTGGAACTACATGAAAACTGAACAAAGAATTCTGAACATCCGCGCTGAGTTACCTATTTATATACTGAACCTATATCCATAATAATTTATATACTGAACCTATATCCAATCATTTATATACTGAACCTATATCCAATCATTTATATACTGAACCTATATCCAATCATTTATATACTGAACCTATATCCATAATCATTTATATACTGAACCTATATCCATAATCATTTATATACTGAACCTATATCCATAATCATTTATATACTGAACCTATATCCATAATCATTTATATACTGAACCTATATCCATAATCAGATCCTCGGCAGATGTGTCCTATAATGTGCAGTTTATGATAATAGCTTATTCCTGGTTTGCCGCGATCGCGCAAACATTATTTTTTTCATGAAAACGTTAACAAATAATTCTGAAAACCTCCGTGCATGTGTATTAATAATGTATATGTATAATGTGTTCTCTGATTAACATTTGAAAGTGTTACGGAGCAATCAGAAAGGAAGGGGGAGGGAGCTTGCGTAGTTTTTTTCAAATCAAGTACCTCTCTGTCTCTTTTTTTCTGACAAACTCCAGACAATCACTTTAAGTTTGAAAACACACATTGTCACTCAACCTGCTATCACAAGATTCTTTATAGCTCTGGCAGGGTTACCAGGTCCAAGAAAAATTTCCAGCCCAATGACCTCTCAAAACTCGACCAAAAAGTATGAAAACTAGCCCAATAATTAATTTCAGTTCAATTTAAATTTATTTATCAAATAAACATTCTGTTTGCCAAACAACATTGGCTGGTTTATTCTCCTTTCATCAGCTGCTGTATTGACACACAAAGACATAGGTGTCAGTCAAAAGTTTGTTTAAAAGAGTGTGTGTTTCATTACCTAGTACCTACCTAGATTAGTTAATTATCTTACATTTTCACTCTTCCTCTTATCCAGTTCTGCTGCAGCTCTCGTTGTGATGTGCTCGCATTTCACTCTTACAGAACTTGCAGAAAGCCTTTCTGTCATCATTTGGGACACTGCGTATCCACTCTTTTATGCCCCTTTCTGACTATATCCTATATCGTTTTTGGTACTTCCCCCATTTACCTGACATCGCACTGTTAGCTTCTTTTTTCCGCGTGCCTAAAAATGACCAAAATGACGGTCTTGATAGCTGACTGACTGTTGCCTGGCCTGCCAGACACTCCTCCTTTCTGTTCAAAAGAAGAACCGTCTGGACACCTCTTCCTAGCCTATCATTTCACGATTTTACCCACATCGGTCCAATCACGCACCGAGAGGCGGGACTTCCTTTCACCTTTGAGTTGCTAATAACTCCTCGTATCTTTAAGTTTTTGTTACAAAATCGACAGCAGTCGTTTACATTTGCACTAGCTGACATTTCGCCATCCCTTGTTTTGTGTTTACTGAAACGGCTTGGGTGCCGCTAGTTGCTGCGTCATATCCTGTGTGCATCTAATTGGTTGATGCAGTCTGTCAACCACGCCCACCGGGAATTCGCTGAGATCAAGCTCGTTCCCAGACTATATGTCTTTGAAAAAGCATATCGTTTGGCAGGCCAGGCAAGACTGACTGGCTTCTTTGCCGCTGCACGTGCGGCCTCTGTCTTGCGTAGGGGGGCGTGCCGCGGCACCACTCAAAGGCTTGCGTGTGAGTGAGAGAGAGAGCGAGAGAGACGGGGAGGGTGGGGGTGGGGAAGGGGGGTGAGGGACAGTGCTGAGCTTTGAATGTGACGAATCTGATTGGGAAAAATAGATAAAATGACAGATAAAGTTGCGGCCGCGGACAGTTTAAAATCAGCCCAAGAAAACCGCAACCCGCAGCACAAGATTTTTTCCCGCAACGGCCAATTTAAAGTAGCCCAATTGTGCGGGAAAACCGCGGACCTGGCAACTCTGAAATATTGAAACTAAAACTGAAAAAAAAATATGTTGCTGAACTGTACTTTTTTTTTTGGTAAGCAGACATTTTGTAGTAATAAGCACATCTATTATGTATTGTTAGTTCAAATCCATTGTGGGGGTGTCAAGACTAACAAACAGAAACACTTCACATGTATGTCCCAATATATGGACCTGACTAGACCTCTATTTGTGTCAGTGTGTGCGTCAGTGTGTGTGTGTGTGTGTGTGTGTGTCTGTCTGTGTTGTCTGTCCCTGTGTGTGTTTTCTGTCCCTGTGTGTGTTTTATGTCCATGTGTGTGTGTATTTTCTGTGTGTGTGTGAGCGTGTGCGTGTGTCTGTCTGTGTTATTTGTCCCTGTGTGTGTGTCTGTGTGTGTGTGTGTGTGTGTGTGTGTGTGTGTGTGTGTGTGTGTGTGTGTGTGTGTGTGTGTGTGTGTGTGTGTGTGTGTGTGTGTGTGTGTGTGTGTGTGTGTGTGTGTGTGTGTGTGTGTGTGTGTGTGTCTGTGTGTCTGCCTGCCTCAGCTGCTAATATCAAGCCTGTTACCATTAATTACAAGAAGCATATTTGCTGGCTGTGTGTTTCCTGTCATCGCAGCTAATGTGTGCCACAGCCCGTCAAACCTTAATGGCATAACATGGGAATAGCACCTATTTAATTGGATTGTGTGTAAGGTTGGCTGTTATTTCCCCGTCACTCATTCATGTGAAACTGACACCGGTCTGCTGTTAGAAATGTATTTAAAATTCAGAATTATGCAGCGGTGTGTAGTGTGGAGCAGAGTGGAGCCGCCACACTGAGAACATGCGATCGATGGGGAAACAGATGGACCGTGTCAATTAGACGCTTCTTTAACCTCTTGTTTTTCAGGGCTGTAACCTTCATCCAAAATCTATTGTGCTCTCAAGTTAGAAACAAGGATCAGAGAAACAAAAGGTCTCTAGTGTACACAAAAACTGCCAATTTATAATCCGTAAACTATGGTATACAAATACATTTAGGCTCTTTTGTCTGTGTGTAATACAAAAAAGTCATACATGTATTTGTATACCATGTTTTTGAATTATAATTTGTTGTTTCTGTCATAATTTGACTGGGGTGTGGATTATACTCTGGAGTGATTTATGTGTGAAATTATTACATTTTTTAAACTTTATTTTTTGATGACCATATATTATCAAGTAATAGCCCGGGGTTTGTATTGAGTGATTAGGAGTGACACTGATTCTTTGGAAACTTGTAACATGTTCTTTATGCTACTTTTATTTGAACAAACCAAATATGTTCTCAGTTCGTTGTTTATGCCTCATATAACATAAACTTATTCAGCCTGTTGTTCTCTGTTTTATTTCTATTTTAAATTGCCTTTCAAGATGAAATCTCGTTTCTTGCTTGGTGTTGGATTTTATCAAATACATTTCCCCAAAAAATGTGACTTATACTCTAGTTTGACTTGTATATATTTTTTCTTTCTTCCTTATGCATTTCCAGCTGATGCGACTTATACTCCAGAGCAAAAATACTTGTTTTTCAACAGTGTCAAGGCAGAGTCCTGAGCTGCTGTGGGCTGCTGCTCACTAAATAAAAGATTTTTCCACATTAACGAGAGGAAAACCATAAGACTTTCTCTACCGACTCCCACTGATGTCTGCTGTCGTTGTGTCCTTAGGCAAGACACTTAACCTCTGGGAACACTTGATGCCACAGTGGGGGTGGCTGCGGCTGTACAGTAGTTGCTTCGCTTCTGTCAGTGTGCCCCAGGGCAGCTGTGGCTACAGTAGTAGTTTATCACCGCTGTGTATGGAGTGAATGAATAATGACATGTAGAGTGTCCAAAAAAGTGCTATATAAAACTGATGTATTATAATTTATCATTTTTAAAACTTGTGGAATTGAAAGCGGTGAAAAACCTAGAACTAATAAGTGAAGAGAAAGAATCCCTTGAAAGATGTCGATTAGGAACAATCTACAGAGCAAGATTAATTATCACTAGAAGAGACACAACATCAAACCTATAGGCCAAATTCACTCATGGGGACACTTTGGTAAAGTAGAAACAATCAAATACATGTGAGTCTCATTCTGCCGCCTGATTGGATAAGTGTCTTGAGACCAAAATCTACTCAGCCCTGTCCATTGTTTTTTCTAATTACAACTCAGCCTGTTATACATAAATACAACTTAGCCTGTTATACATAAATACAACTTAGCCTGTTATACATACATTTCGAACATATCTTCCTGGGAAAACAGATAGAATATTCTACAAAGCATAACTTTAACCTAAAAATAATGTTGCCTCAAAATGTTTCAAAAATACAACATTGATTAAAATATGATTTCTATTTATGAAAGACCATTTGTAATGTAAAGAGAAATCTGAGAACATGTCACTTCCCAAACAAGGTCGGAATAAATTAACATGAATGAATAATAAAAACTTGTGAATATATTTTGTCCATACAGGATGTCATTTGCACATTTCTTTTTCAGGAGAAGAGCTCATTTGTGCGGTGTGGCCATGATGAATGTGCTGCTCACCTCGACACAGGTTGCCATTGTCTGGCTCGTACCCCGCCTTACAGCTGCAGCTGCCAATGGGGACCATCCACTCTCCGTCTCCATTACAGTACAGCTTTATGGGCACGTCCACCTCCTCTGCGTTAGGGATACAACTTCCTCTGGCAATGACTAACGAGGTGGACTCAGCTCCAGTGAGGGTCTGCAAAGAACGGACAGAACCACAACCATTTGCATACAGTGGGAAAGTGTGTGTCTAGAATTTACCACACAGTTGACTACAAATGAGGAATTGAGTTCAATGATTGTATTGCCCCGTCAGTGTTGGAATACTTTACGTTACTTTCTGAAAATCACAACAATACATACTTTCTCACATTACGTTTTATGGTTAAAAAAGACTTCTTAAGGTGAAGATTCTATTTTTTTTTCTGGTTGGCAGCTGTTGAAAGACTAGTTCTACAAAAACAACCAACAAATTATTGAATAATTACAGAACACTGTATTTTTATTTAAACATTCATTGAAGTTGTGGTTTTAAATCATTTTAAATTTTCCAGAAGTATCAGAATACATTTTAGGTCATGTGTTCAGTATTCTGGAACGAAATACACATTCTACCCAACATGTGCCCCGTCATGTTTTTCATAACCAGGGTACTGTATATTGTGGTAATAAACATCAGCATGTAGTGGTATTTTATTTATAAATGCAATGTCTATTACCGAAAATGAATAAACATAAAACATCATTATTATATTGTGGAAAAGCATTGGAATTAAATAATATTGCAGAGCCCCATTGAAGTGTTTGTGCAATAAATGCCAAATAAACGTCAACATAATAGCATAAGGAAAAGCGCTTGTGTTTAGTGTTTAGTTCTCACCTCAGGGAAATAGGCAAAGTTCTGTACCACACTGGGACATTTCTTATAGAAGACCCGGACAGCCAGCAGCGACATACAGGCTCCAAGGTCCTGGAAGGCCAAATGGAAGCCTTTGCCTTTTGAGAGGGGGCCAAAACTTCTGACTTCTGTGTTGACCTTCATCATCCTCCCTCCAAAGTCCACCTGGGAGAAGCTCTCGTCGGCGGCTATAGTGTCCACCTGAGCACACATAACAGGTATTGATTTGTGAGTCCTGGCGGGTCAGGCTTCAGTGGTACAAAACAGAAATCATAAAAAACAGTACTAGATAAAGTATTTATTTTTTATAATTGACAAACACACACCTCTTAAATAGTTGCACTTGAACTGTAGGCCTTGATCAATGTTAGAAAAGAATAACATTCCATATTCAACACCAATAATTGTCAACAACAAATCTATAACCAACACCTTTTTCTCAAAGGCCCTGAAAGAAATCGTTGTTTCTTTTCTTGTTTTGTAACAACGAGACCTTTTTAAGTTCTGTGGCCGCATGTTACGTTACCAGTGAGATTAGCTCAACGCAGTGAGTTCTGGCAACCCGGATCACAGACTTTCTAAAGTGGTAAAACGTTGGAGGGCGGGACATCATTGAAAAAAATGTGCTTTATAAATAAACTTGATGAATTGATTGATTGAAAAGCCTGTTTTGACTCCTAAAAGCCCACTGTTTTCACTGACTCACTGCTGAGAACAGTTTCCAAAGTGCAGACATGCATGAATACAAGAAAGCTCCAGGTAAATAGATCAAGTCATGAAGCAAAAAGGTGCCTCTTGGCAGAAGTCTGCACTCTACAAGTGCTTTTATAGCGTGTTGTTTTTCCTTGATCAACACTAGATGATGGTGCACATAGGTGAAACTGTAAATTTTATACCATTATGAATAATAGATCAAATCCACAGTTCAAGCCTGGAGGGTAAATGCCATCTTAAATACACCCATGAACTGTTACCACGGTAATATTTTTTATTGTACACAAAACATCTTCAACAAAAGAGACTTTATTTTTATCCTTTAACATGTTTGCACATTTTCTGTGATACTATTTACTCCATTGTGAGATCAATACATTTTACATAGCGCTTTTCAAGACGCTTCACATGTCATTCGTTCACTCCATACACACTGGTGATAAATTACTACTGTGTCAACAGCTGCCCCGAGGCACACTGCATCGAGGCAACCAGTATGTGCCATCGGCCCCTCCAACCACCACCAGCCATTCATACACACACCAGACTCCTTCTAGTCAATGTGAGTAAACTGTCTGAGAGTTTCGCACTTTACAGCCGCAGCCGCCCCACTGTGGCACCTGGTGTTCCCAGAGATCTCCCATCACAGTTCTAACCAAGCCCAACCCTGCACAGCTTCAGAGGCCTGATGGGAACTGGCTTCCGCATGCAAGTATGACCACATCTTATCATATCACAACAGTCCAAACACCATTCACCCTCTGTATTCATAGAGCAATAACAGCTTTGCACTTTTCTACTTTTACCTTGAGAAACGGGGCATTGGCCCAGTACTCCACCCCTTTGACGCCTTCAGTCACCGTCCGGTCCGTCTCCAGGTAATAGAGGTTAAAAGTCTCCTTACAAGAGCCGAGCACGCTGGGTATGGAGGCGCAGTCCCGCACCGTGAAGCGGATCTCCACGTATATCCTCTGAGCCGCTCTGCGATCAATGTAGGTCGTGAGGAGCCAGTTGTTTTGACTGGGCTCGAAGACATTGCAGACTTGGTACGTCCTAATAGTGTTGAGGTTCTCATCATAGCCGCTCACCTCCTCCCACTGGAATAGGCATATGAAAAGAAAAGAAAGCAGATAACGGGAAATAAAATGGACTGTAGAGGCCAGAGTGATTAATGGGTTTACTAAGATTTGACACAAATTAAACTCTCTCCCTCCTGCCTTTTTCCTTTCTTTTGATTGCCCCCCCTCCCTTCATTCATTCTTCCCCTTCTTCCACCTTGTACTCTGCTGCTCAGGGACAACTATTCATCACAATTAGGACCTCTCACAGACATAGGGGCTCACTGTACGGAAGAAAACACCATAACACAGCCGCTTCAAAACTACACTATCCATTTCCAGTGCATGCATTTGTTTTGTTTTGCAGCCTGATGTTTTATATTTCATTCTGTTGCGGTAAATTGGTGTCACCTTGCTGCGGTAATTAGGTTTTTGACAGACTTGTTAATAGGCTAGGGCGCTCTAACTGCTTTCTGGATGGTAAGAGGCCCGTAACAGCACACCTCTGGTCTGAGTTCTTACCCCGTTGGCAGGAAACGATATCCAGCCGAGCTCTGCTGTGGCTGTCCGCGTGTCCATCACCGTCTCTGTGGGCGCCGAGAGAAAAACAGAAATAAGGAAACGCAAAATACAACCTGAACATGAGGAATACGATGTTGAATGTCAGATCCATGTTTCACAATATTAGCATTTTATTGTTTCCTACAGAAAAAAACAGATAACACACGTCTACAAGATGAAGGCGGCTTGTGTCATATTAGTTTCTCTCTTGAAAGCATGTTGAGACGGCTGAGCAGAGAGGTATAGTCTGATTCAAAAGTTCCCATTTGCATTTGTTTTATTGTGGTCAAATAAAAGTTAATGGGATAGGAAATTACAGCTATGATCCAAATGATGGTTCATTCACTGCTCAGTAAATGTTAAACGTCCTCCTCCTTGTACCTGAACACACTATTGAGCTTTTGTCTGATACAAAGACTCCAGACACACAGTCTCAATATTAATCTTTTTGTTTTTGTCAAAGATATTGCATACACATTTTCACATTATTTTTGGTGATATTGGATTTCCAAATTCACACTAAATTCAAGGCACATTAAAGTGGGCAACATCAGATATTAGTTTTCCAAGGGATTACTTCGACACCCTTTTATTGCAGGTGGAGGTGTTCGCAGCCTTTCTGTCCAGCTGGTGCTCGACCAGCTTTCCAATGGCTGATCCAGGACGGATTCAGTCCGGCACAAAAACTTGTTGGATATTCAGGCGGTGGGCAGAGCACTCTGCGATGGATGGGCCCTCGCCTTGACTGTCACAGAAGGAACCTGGCGAGGGACAGCTGGTAGCTGACCGCCAGAGCAGAGAAAGCATGTTGTGCACTGCAGACGAGCGGGTCAATGCTCTGGCACACCAACCATGGCCTGAGGGACTCCACCTTGTATTTATCCCCATTTCCCTCTTACTAGTCCTGTTGGGACGGCTTTAAGAGGAGGGAAAACTGAGGTAGTGATTGCCTCTAACAGCCCACAGGCAGGTCCACTACCCTAGTGCAAGCCCGATCTGGTAGTTGAAAGTGGAGCAAACTTAAAAATTAAAGCAAAATCAGACAGGTGCGTAAGAGCAGGCCCCACACACAGCTCAGCCAACTTAGAAAAGGAAAAAAAAACTGTTGCACACTATGTGTACTTGCAAACACTGGTGTTTTTTATTTACAGATTGACGAAAGGCCTAAGGTTGAATTTTATTTTGTCATTTTCTACAGTATATGGAAACTTTTCCACTTATGGATTTTAAATTCTAGTTTTAGTATCAAGAATAATCTGATACTTTTGACCACCCTACAACAGCCAATGACCCACACCTCCCAATCCATTTTGTCGTCTGTTGCCGGATAAACATTTACACAATAATATAAGAAGGAGAATTGCCTCACGCCTACATAATGACAACAAAGGTGTATGAAACAGAGCGGTCTGACAGCGAGAGCCCAGACGCCTGTGTTCAGTGTACAGCGTGTCACTTTATATCATACATCCCACTGCGGTAATGGTGAAGAAGCAGCATCTGAGATTACGCTCAGTGTCTGTCTTGTCTACGGTGTCTATAACAGTGTCTATACCGCCTGCTGAAGTTTCAAAGAGAAGACATAAAGGAATACACAGCGAGCTACAAACAGCACTGGAGACATCATTTATTTGGATTTATAAATAATCTAATGTTTTACACTGAACAAATGTGTCCAAGAGAAAAAAAAATGATGTTATGTACACAGGATAAAGAAATGTTGACTGAAAATAATAATGTACAGGTTTTATGTAGAACTTTTAGGGTTATCATTGTGGTCATTCTGTACTGTAGCCAGGGCAACCAGTAGTGCCATTGGCCCCTCCGACCACCACCAATCATTCTCACACACACACACACACACACACACACACACACACACACACACACACACACACACACACACACACACACCAGGCTCGTACGAGGCAATTGAAGTGTCTTAAGGACCACAACCACAGTTAAATAATAAATATAGTATTGATTTGAATAGAATTAAATACAGTTGGTTATTTTCTATATACAAATGTTTAGAATAAAAAAAAAATTCAAACAAAGCAACACTCACTTGAGATCTGCTGCCACACTTAAAGGGGAGAGCAGGGCTCTGTTCGAATAGATAATTTATTTGGAAACAACTGCCTAGCATTGTTCCTGCAGGGCAGATCATTTCCTGCCCAAAAGCGGGGCAGTAAAAACTAAAAATATGCAGTCCCTGCTGAGTGAAGCAGTTGTGCCTGATTCACTGCTCCATATGAAGTGGTAACGAGCACACGACCACTCCTGCTCCCTCATTAGTGCACATCCTCAATGTATTTATGAAGAATATGTAATATTAACAATGACACGGTGCAGCTACGCCAGAACAAGCTGACACAAGTTAGTTTGAAGGTTTACAGCAAAGACTGTCCACTATCCAGCAGACGCCTTTGCTCTACTGTCTTCATGATTGTCTAAATACATCATGTACTGAAGATACTGTCAAACAGCAAAAGAAAATGCGGACCACGAGCTCACTTTAGTTTTCATCAGAATAATGTAGAAGATGCAGCTTTTGCAAGCGACACAATAATAATCTCCAGAGACAAGTCCAGATGTGACATTTTGACCATGAGGGAAAAAAGACAATCAGGAATGAGAGTGTAAACATGAAAGGTTTGTGCAAAAGTTTTTTCTCTTTAAGCTTTGTATAAAGGGAATTGCTTTATGAGCGAGGGTTTTGCTTCTATAGGCTTTGTTATAGAAACAATAGCACAGCTCAGACATTATTCACACTGCAATCCCACATAACAATGTAAAGCAGAGGACACGGCAGGTTTGCACACAATATGCATTTTTATTTATGGGAAACCGATTGCACTATCATACTGTGAAACCATTATGATGTATCTTGACATGTACCCAATAGCATCACAGCGTAATAGAGGAGAGTCATGGCGGAAGACTCTCCTCCTAAGTCTGTAAGAAACCAACTATACATAAACCAATCTATTATTAGGTTACTTTACAAAATCAATTGGATATGTGATAGATTTAAGGGCTTTCTGAGCTCATGACGGACAGAAATGAAGCAAAGGCAAGACCTTTGTGTGGTCATAAGAACATTTCAAACTCGATGTTGATACGAACAAATAGACTCACACTCACACTTTTATACAATGGTGACAGTTCTAAAAGCTGCAATTTCACATCCAATCCACTTTATTTATATAGCACATATCTTACACAGTTGTGCTATATAGTGCTGCACAACAAAAGACTAATTAAAACAAATCCATAGGGCGGGACGGTGGCTGAGTGGAAAGCACTCTTATCTTTCAGCAAGAAGGTCCTAGGTTCGAATCCTGGTTGGAACAGGGTCTTTCTGAGTGGAGTTTGCATGTTCTCCTTGTGCCTGTGTAGGTTTCCTCCGGGTACTCCGGTTTCTCCTACAACTAAAAACATGTACACTAGGTTAAATCCTCCAGCTCTGGTAGTCCTGACCAAGCATTTGGAGATGGGTTCCCGGGCACTGTTACTATGGCGACCACTGCTCCTGACATAAGCCTTAGCGGCATCAGGATGGGTCAAATGCAGAACATTGAAAAAATAAAAATAGTATATAGATATAGATACATACGTTGCATATAACAATCCTATATTCATGTTATGTACTTCTAATTTTCCAGAAAAGAAGCCTGAGCATGTCTTAAAGATATCAACATAGATTCACAAAGTGCTTTGTGCTCTTAAACCCCCTTCCTCAGAACAAAGATTGTCGTAGCGTACGCGGGTTATTACGGCTGTTTCTACTTATCAGTGTAATTAACAGCTCGTGCCGCACACCTCTCTGCATCGTCCTTACTCTGAGATCAACCTAATTACTTTTGACATATTGGAGGCTGTGATCACATACACCCCCACACACACGGACACACACACGAAAGAACACACGCACACAGGGCTATACCACAAAAGCCACTCAACCTCAACACCACTATTTTCTGTCAGTGGGCAAAATCATAGCTGGATTGTAACTGTGGCAGAGGTTGTTAAAATCCATGTTGTGGCTCACAGGGGAGAAATAAAAAGTATTTTCACCGCAGATGGAGAACTAAAAGTCATTTTAGCGTTTGACTGCCTGCCCCTCCCTCACACTGGTACATGATTGTGGTTTGTATTTAAAAGGCAAGTCATTCAGATTTAAGGGAATACAAGTGTAGTCCGTGTCTGGGATTTGAAAAGGTGTGTGCAGTGTTTATGTGACAAGATGAATTTACAATAAAGTGTGTCAGTTTTTGGTCAAAATAATCAAAAACAAAAAGCAATGGATCATAATGGATTTGAATAAACTAAACAGAAAGAGATGGTGCAGACATGAAGGAGGCTGGAAGTAGTGGCTGTATTTGTTTTACATTCATCTGAATTGCTCAAAATTTAAGTTTTTGATCATTCTATTCAGTGCAACAAAGAAACCTGAAGTCTGAGGTCATAGGATAATGAACCTAGACCCATGTATTTTCTTTCCTTGATCTCTAAATAAACATATTTTCAAATGTTATTCCAAAGGGAAAAGTGGAGCCGATATTAACTTCTCTTGAATTTTACTAAGATTTATATGGAACAGTGATGAGGCTAAAATCTGGGATGTTTACGTTCATATGTCTACTACGTCCATTGACACTGTCCCATTAAAATAAATACAAAATCACATTATTCTATTCTAATCAGTGGATTATTTGTAGAGGCAGTCATAGTGTGAACTTCTGCCATGTGGTTTATAATAATAATAATCATAACATAATAATAATGCATTGGTTTTATAGCGCGCTTTTCTAGACACTGTGGTGATAAACTACTAATGTAGCAAAAGCTGCCCTGGGGCACGCTGACAGAAACGAGGCAACCAGTATGTGCCTCCCACCACCATCAGCCATTCACACACACACACACCAGACTCATTCTAGGCAATGTGGGTGAAGTGTCTTGCCTAAGGACACAACAACAGTTTAAAATAACGGCTGTTATTTTACAGCCGC